ACACAATTGTCATATTTTCCCTCATTATGAATTCATTAAAATTCTAATTTTTTTATTATCTTATTTATTCTCACCCTTATAAGAAAACATTATTTAAAAAAGAAAAACTTTTTATGCCATTTAATGGGTATTATGTGGTAATACAAATATATTTTTTTTMAAATGAGAGATAGAGAACCTTTTATTTACTGTCTATTCTTAAGCTTCTTAAAAAGTTTATAAATTAAGTAATACTTAGATGAAGCCTAATGAACATAATTCAAACAAATAGTTTTTCAGATATTGAATTTAGTGTTCTAAGAATATATCATTGTAATACTAATATTAGTACATAATAATTAACGTGAAATATTTAACACTGGATTAATGTTAGATTGATAAAAATGTATTTAGTTAATGTCTCATTAAAATTTAAAATACTAACAATTGGTCACTAAATCATGTTCAAGTTCGTCGTCAGCTTACTCATTAAATGTTTAGCGATTATTTGTGCAACTGCTAACCAAACACATATATTATTAGATATATATAACATCTTATTTATATTTTATGTAAAATTAAAATATATTAATTAAAATAAAGTTCAGAAACTACAAGATATAATTTTAATCAAGATATTATATGCGTTAGGTAAGTCGGTAGGTGTATCAAAATTAAAAAAAAAAAACTGTTCGCATTTGAAATAATGATGTTTGTACTTCTAAGATTTAAATGGTATAACAATTTAAAACTGAAAAATTTGAATAAGGCGTATGTTTAACCATCACTCTGTATATACAATGAACGTCAATTCATGACACTTTAATATATTATATASCTATAGGATTGTCTACATTTGTTTTGTTCTTTAAGCAAAATGACGTGCGCAATTGTCATAGACTCTTTTCCCTACAAGGATATCACATACCTATAATAGTTTTTAGTTTTTACCTCTGCGTGCTGAATTCGATCGTATTTAAAAAAAAAAGAATATTATGTAGGTATACACTAAATTTATAATACATATACATTTTTCCAAAGATGAATAAAATATTTTACTATGTTTCCGGAATGCTTTCGATTATTATTTTATTATCACAGAATGTTTTCATAGAATTAAATTTATACATCAACGATCTTTGACAAGAATAACTTTATTTTATTTATTAGTTTTTAATAATTTAAATATTATTGGATGGAGATGATTACTTTAATTATTCAATCATCTTATAATTGATGGGTAATAATTTGTATTAATTTAATACTATTATAATATAATATATAATATGCCACACAAATGATTCTACTTTAAAAAAGTCAAAACCAGTATTGTATTGAGACTTGAAACGAACTTAATGGGATTCAAAAATAATAGTCAATTACTTGATAATAATAATACATTATAGACTATAGTTAATACCTATAAATAGTGCGAATAAGTTGAGTGAATAATATAATGGACACGCAAACAATTGATCGATAAAGGAAAGTTACAAAACGTATTATTTTTTATTGATTTTTAGTAAATTGGGGTAAACATTGACGCATAAATATTAAATTTCCTTTAAAAACGATAATAAAATATTCGTAGGTACTACGTCATCATGAACTGGGGTTACTTTCCAATGAATTCATATACTGCAGTATACAGCAGCGTTATAATATAGGTAGTAGGTACGCGTTGCACAACAATATATTATGAGCTCTTATCGTCTGTATTATTGTCGCTGGAATTCAATCTTAAATGATATTCTGTTTATGTTTCCACGCACGATATCGCCYCGATAAGTATAATAATATTATAATAACATATTTATACGCGTAAGTCATGTCACGTGCAGACTTACTTAAATACACATGTACCTGCGACTGACGGCTTTTGCGACATTTACCAACTATACCACAAAATCATTTCGTTTTGACAGTCTTTGTTCTCGACGACCGCGGCATATCCTATATTTGATATACCGACCACGACTACTGTATATATATATAATACATATAAACATATATTGTATTAAAATAGGTAATATTATTATATTAAATTATTGTATAAATATTATACCTATATACCTCGGGTCAGAAGTCTGGTTTCGCAATAATGATAATTATCATAATGGTAATAATAATATATAGCTTTGGTTCCAAATATGGGCCCAATTAACAATATATTACCCGGGTAATTGTGTGCGGCTGGTCGTCGACGAGGGGAGACGTAGCTTTCAGCGCGAGCCGCACATATTATTTTCATTTGTGATTTCGTGCGTTCCCTACGGAGAACCGCACAATCGCCATCGAAACGAAGCGTATAATATATTCCTAATAATCTAATGAAGCACGTAATAGGTAAGTATTATTATTATTATTAGCTGCAGGTATTATAATATCACGTCTTGACCGCGGCTCGCACGGTACTATAATACGCCAATACGATAGCAACATCGGCGACGGCGGCAAACAACAATGCTCACTTAGGGTCTCTTCGGTGCCGCGGGAAAACATGACTCTGTCTAATGGTCCACAGAAAGTCGCATAATAATATATAATATCATAATACAGTATGCGAGTGCATATTATAATATGCGTATACCTAGTTACCGATGTATAAACCGTTAGCCGACGTCAGTAACAATATAATATATACGACTATATTATATGTTTTGCCAGAAAAGGATATTTCGTTTGTGGTCTAGCGTTTTTCCCTGTACACTCACGAAAACRAGTTCAACATGCTTAAAAGCCCGAGGATAATGTTGAGCTGGGAATCGATTTTAAAAAAACGATTTTTTTTTTTTTTTTTTGATTTTTCTCGCGGAGTCAGTCCAATTATTAGATTGGGAGGTAACGATAGTACGATACAATTTTTTTTCAAAGACATCTGAGATCTGRCATGATGCAGCAAGAATCGATAATCTTTTTGTTATACATAAGTGAAAAATTGGTAAAAACTAAAAAGAAATATTTTCGAGGGAATTGTACACATGTATGACCAAAATACAACGATATTATTGAATGGCAATGATTGTTAACATTTAAGAACTAAATCAAAAAGCTTAACATACTTTTGAATAGTGATTTTATAATAATGATATAAAATATGATGATTACCACATTTAATAAATAAAGAAAAAACATTTGGAAGACTTTCCAATGAACCTTCCMGTGGTGWTCCCTGATGGGTAAAGTTAACAGGTTAAATCTCAGTAATAGACTATAATACATATTATGTATTCTGGAAATCAATTTAGCCGCTCCCATGAATTAACTTGAGAATCAATTAATATAAAAAGTACCAAAGTCTCGGAAATCAATACTCTTAATCCGCACCGAGCTATATGACGTACGTTAACATATAAGGTTTACTTAATATTATGTGGTCTTGATCTTATTAAAGTCTCGAGACTCGTAGTTATTATTTATAATTTATGATCCATAATGTTAAAAAATAAGTTTATTGATAAAAAATATTGTTTTATTTATTTTATTTTTAATTAATTTAGTATTATAAACTGTATATTAATGTTAATTTAATCCCCTTTGTAAAATTAAATGAAATATACTTAAAATTGTTAACTATATTCTTTTTTCAAACATTTTTAAARAAGTATATCGTGACCTAATTCTGAATATTACGTGACCTACTGTTTTAAGACCACTACTGCACGGSATATTAAAGTATAAACAACATACGTTATAATATATATCATATGAGTCATACGTGTATAAATAAATGTAAACACTACTTCAGTAATTTTACAAGTCACTTTAGCAGTTTAGCAAGTATGCACA